CTGCGTAAGGAGGAGGCTCTCACCCAGTGCAGCAGAAATGGACGCAGCGACCCACTCAACATTGGGTTGCGACCCACTTTTGGGTCGCGGCCCACATGTTGAGAACCGCTGTCCTAGACGATGACCACTTCATATGCATGTAAAAGGTTGACTGTATACTGAAACTTTTTTTTTTCCCCTCATAATTGTGCATTATTATATGACCAAGTAATTGTCAGTCAAACTATCTCCGCACTGGAAGCTTAAAACATGGCCTGGAAACAAAGGGGGTACAACATACTGGTAATGAGGTGTTTAATACTGTCATTTTCAGTTACCATTACAGTAATAACAATTTCAAAACATATATTCTTTTAATTATTTTCCATTTGCTTATAATGAAAAACAGGTGTTTTATTTTTAATGTGTGTCAAATAAAAGCATTATGTCTTTAAAAAATTTAAATAATTTAGAAAGGCAGATTTTCAGTTATAGGTAAGTTTACCAAATTGGCCTGGACATCTAGGCATCAATGACCAAAAGGGTTAACCTAACACTTTCTAAACCTTGCTGCATCCTCTGTACTGTCATTTAAATAAATGAATGGAATGATCAGCTTCCACTTCTAATGACTGCAGCAGCAGGTAAATAGACCTGGAAGCTGAAGTGTACAGATTTCACTACCAGAGTCCTTGAGGGATACAAAACCCAGTAGGTGATTCAGCCTGCTGGCATCCATTCATTCTAGTATCTGTTGTTTTTAGCCTTTCGAGCCATCCTCTGTAAGGCACATAAAGTTTCCTTTATTTGCCTTACAGAGGATGGTTCGAAAGGCTAAAAACAGATACTAGAGTTGCTACTTGTTATCTTTGCCTCCACAGCTTAAGGAAGCTGCTTTGTTCTGTGGTGCCGTTAAAAAAAAACTAAAAGCTATTGAAATAGGTTCGGAAAAGTTTGATTCCGAAAGTTACCCTGTTTTTAAAAAATTATAGCTAAAAGTTAGCTGGTAATGTATCTGCCTGTAGGTGTAAATATCCTCATGAGTGCTCAAGAAGCCCCAGGAGTGCTATTATCAGGGCTTCCCGGCCGGCCGTTGTAATTAAACGGACGACCGGGAGCTTTACATTCAAATGATCGGACACTCGATTGCTTGTATTAGCTGCGGTTTTACCCCCACCGCCGCTGCTGTCATTGCCGGTCCCGAGATCCGCTGTGCCTGGTGCCCCTGGGACCGGCACGGCTGCTCCGTGACAGGAGATCAAAGGGACATCAGTAAACGATCTCCCTCGGGTCTCCTCTCCAGTCCCTGAATGCAGGAAGTGATGTATATTACATCACTTCCGCATTCAGCTGTCATTCCCAGCTACAGAAGCTGGTGAAGCAGATCTGTTCATCAGCTTCTCTGAGGGTCTCTAGGTGACATTACGGGTCTTGAAGACCCCTGATGTCTCCATAAAAAGGACCTGTCATGTAAATTTGCTATCGCATAGGGAGGTTTTTAGCCCCTATGTGATAGCAATAAAATTAAGTGTAAAAAAAAAAAAGTGAAAATTTAAAGAAGCATAAAAAAACTATTTAAGTTGCCCCCCCCCCACATACACACGCAAACATGCTTTGGGTGCGCCTACGTGTGGAAACGACGATTGCGCTGCACGTGTTACATATCACCGCGAACGCCAGAGTGTGAGCAATCAATTTAGGGCCATTAATCACTGATAACACTAAACTGATGAGCAGTAAAACCGTTTAAAGCGTCAACTATGGCCAATTTCCGGTGTGGTATTTTCCAGGCGCATGCAATTTTAAAGGCTTGACATGTTTGGTGTCTATTTACCCTAGGTGACCCCCGACTTTTATGTTTTACTAAAAATATGGGTAAGAATAAATGTTTTTTTAACAACGTAGGGGAAACATTTTTTGTTTTCGAAATTTACAGTACTTTTTTCATTTATATAGTAAAAAAGAAAAGAACCCCAGCGGTGATTCTATACCACCAATAGAAAGCTCTGTGTCCCTAAAAAATGTTAACCTAAATTGCAAGGCTATAGTCCGGTCATGCTGACTGATGAGACACCCTAAATTTTTTCAAGCCCTGGCTATTATGCAGATTGTGACTTTTTCTGGTAAAGTTGAGAGCTGCCCACCCTCCCAGCACAACACTATTGAGGCATCACTATGATGGGGAACCTCACTAAGCAGTAGTGATGTGCAGAAAGGGGGGTTGTCGGCTTTTGGCTTTACTTTCAATGGCAGAATTTATATTTTATGGCACCCCAGGTTTTTGGCTTCAGGAATGTTTACTGGAACAAACGGGCACACTGGGAATATATCTCAAGTGTATTTGGTCTGAGTGTTTTATTATAAAGAAGTGATTTAAACATCTAACAGCAGTTAATATATGCAACAGTAGCTTTCTGGTGGAAAACCCAGCAAGTAAGTGGAGGAATTGAGAGACATTATGATTAGTAAAAGGTTATAGAGGGAAGTTTTTACACCTTTCCAGAATGTTTTTTTATCCTAGGGTGGCCCAAAATTATATAAAATTGCCTATATGTTTGAGGCATTTAAAGCATTGATCTGGGATGTTTAAGAGTTGAGGGTGTGTGAAAATGCAGTGATATGTTACCCAGGGGTAAAGAATTTTTGTGTTCCTATTTTGACAGCTAGCAGCCAACACTGTCTGCAGATGCTAGTTGTCAGGGTTGTTCACCCCAGCAGCCACTCTCAACCACACTGCTGCTGGTGTGTGCTCCTGGCTCCCTAATGTGTGTTTACAATCAAGGACATTTATAAATGCAGTTACACTACCTTTTGTTTGCAGAGTCATCAGATATTGTGCAGATCACAGGCAAAACCAAAAGAGACAGAGTGGCACCGTACCTTGTGATTGCTGTAAACCAATCCTCGCAATCACCAATAGTAAATATTTGCTTTGATCAGCCATTATTCTCACAATGACTCTGTCTGTGATTGCATCTAACATCCTACTTTTGCAAAAATCTGGAATCTAATGTTTAATGTGTTTTTACAGTTTGAAAGATTTGGGTCAGTTGTGGAGATCAGATGTTTTGACCATCTGAATTTGGAAACCAAAAAATAGTAAGGCAGTATAAAGTTATTTCACTTTCTTCTGAACAATACTCCAGAATGCTTTATTCTCCAAGGCCAGTGGTTCTAAACCTTTCTAGGGCCGGGACCCCTTGATAACATTTGCCAAGTTGTGGTGACCCCCAACAGAGCACTGGACTCGGGACTTAGTAGCAGACTGGATTCAGGACTTAGTAACGGACTGGATTCAGGACTTAGTAATGTTCAGGACTTAGTAAGGCACTGGACTCGGGACTTAGTAAGGCACTGGACTCGGGACTTAGTAAGGCACTGGATTCAGGACTTAGTATTGCAATGGACTCGGGACTTAGCAAGGCACTGGACTCGGGACTTAGTAAGGCACTGGACTCAGGACATAGCAACATACTGGACATAGAAATTAAAATAGAAGCATACTCACAAGAATGCAAGCCCTCCCCAACCCCTGCTTGCCTGCTCGGTCTCCATGCAGCCTTCTCAGCCCCAGCACTGCTAAGATTACCGCCTCCTGCAGAGCCCGCACTGTATGGGAGTAAGTATGGGCTCAGTCTTGTTCGCAGCTCCACATGCTGAGCCCGCTAATCACAGGCACTGAGACGTTTCCCGATCTCTGCAGCTGCGGACCGGGAAATGTCTCAGTGCCTGTGATTGGCGCTGTGTGCTGTCAGCTTCCTGGCGGGCTCGGGACGTGGAGCTGCTAACACGCCCGAGCCCATCCTTATATAGGAGGACAGCAGCGGGTGTGAAAAGAAAAGTCCTGCTGTAAACACTCCCCAGCCACTAGATATTGCTGCAGCGGCCAGGGAGTGTGCTGCAGCGGCACTTTTATATTCACAGCCGTTGCTGTCCTCCCGCTGACTGACACTGCTGCGTAAGGAGGAGGCTCTCACCCAGTGCAGCAGAAATGGACGCAGCGACCCACTCAACATTGGGTTGCGACCCACTTTTGGGTCGCGGCCCACATGTTGAGAACCGCTGTCCTAGACGATGACCACTTCATATGCATGTAAAAGGTTGACTGTATACTGAAACTTTTTTTTTTCCCCTCATAATTGTGCATTATTATATGACCAAGTAATTGTCAGTCAAACTATCTCCGCACTGGAAGCTTAAAACATGGCCTGGAAACAAAGGGGGTACAACATACTGGTAATGAGGTGTTTAATACTGTCATTTTCAGTTACCATTACAGTAATAACAATTTCAAAACATATATTCTTTTAATTATTTTCCATTTGCTTATAATGAAAAACAGGTGTTTTATTTTTAATGTGTGTCAAATAAAAGCATTATGTCTTTAAAAAATTTAAATAATTTAGAAAGGCAGATTTTCAGTTATAGGTAAGTTTACCAAATTGGCCTGGACATCTAGGCATCAATGACCAAAAGGGTTAACCTAACACTTTCTAAACCTTGCTGCATCCTCTGTACTGTCATTTAAATAAATGAATGGAATGATCAGCTTCCACTTCTAATGACTGCAGCAGCAGGTAAATAGACCTGGAAGCTGAAGTGTACAGATTTCACTACCAGAGTCCTTGAGGGATACAAAACCCAGTAGGTGATTCAGCCTGCTGGCATCCATTCATTCTAGTATCTGTTGTTTTTAGCCTTTCGAGCCATCCTCTGTAAGGCACATAAAGTTTCCTTTATTTGCCTTACAGAGGATGGTTCGAAAGGCTAAAAACAGATACTAGAGTTGCTACTTGTTATCTTTGCCTCCACAGCTTAAGGAAGCTGCTTTGTTCTGTGGTGCCGTTAAAAAAAAAAAAAAAAAAAAATGTGGTTAATCTTAATTGGTTGTGAGATCATGAATACTGTATTAATGTCACATAATATCCCTTGTTCCTATATAACCTTATAACATTTGTATACTGATGCACAATTTTACTTTGATCATAGCACTTTGTACAGCTTTTTCTTCTCTGTTGCAGTTTAACTTCACTGAAGAGCATTTCAAACATGAGGATAGCGAGAAGACTGACTCAAAGCCGAAAAACAACAGGAGGACATCAACGGTTTTTAAGGGACCTTTACTACACATTAGGTATGACAGAAGATCAGAGCTTAGAAAGTTTAAAGTTTACTCTCTTAAAATTGGTGTCTGTTCGGATTGCAAAACAAGTTTCTTAAACTGCTGACATCAAGCCTGTTCAGTCTTCAAAAAAGTGTTTTTTCTGCCTTTTGCTGATGTGACTTGTTTGTGCACCAAAGTCACATCTCACAGTTGATGTTTTCAGCAGTTTCCTTCTCATGTAAAACTCCCAAAGGGTTGACCACTGTTTCATTTTTTTTTTTGTCCTTGCAAAAGGGAAAGTTCTGTAATAATAAACTATTATGCAACATGTGTCATTTCTCATTAAACATTTTTTTTTTTTTCTGTAAGCATCACTTTAATGAGTTGTTTATTGTTAGTCCTGCAGATGAATTGCATTTTGGATCCAAGGAAAGCGGAGAAAGAAAATGTATTATTGTTCTCAATAATGTGACCAAAAATACAGTTGCTTTTAAGGTAAAACACATGCTTTTCATTTTTGCATCTTTCATTTATATCTTCTTTTATTTTGTAGACTTTGTTATTATATATCTTTTATAAATCTGGAAATGTTCAAAACATTTTTTATTTTTAGCAAACATTCATTGAACATATGTATTAGAACCTGGGGATTGATGGAGAGAGAAGTTTTTGTTGACCCAGTGCCTTCAACATTCATTGAAAGTATATATTAGAACCTGTGGATTAATGGCAAGAGAGGTTTTTGTTGACCAAGTGCCTTCAACATTCATTAAGCGTATTTATTCGAACCTGGGGATTAATAGAGAGCTTTTGTTGGCCCAATGCCTTCAGCATTCATTGAAGGTATATATTTGAACCTGGGGATTAATGGAGAGAGAGGTTTTTTTAGGCCCAGTGCCTTCAATGTCACTTCCCTGGGACAAGTATGTAGAACAACCGTTCTAACTTTGACTTAAAGTACATCTAACCTGTATAATGTCTGAACAGGTCCCACCTCCAGTTACTATGTGATGCATAAATTAAAAAATGAAAGCTTCCTTTACCTCCCCAGAGTGGGGTATATTGTTATCATCTGTTACCTCCCAGTGAGAGGGTTCCAGCAACAGAGCTTTCATGAGGCTGCACTGCTCCTGAATTCAAAGCAACACTGCCACCCCAACACAGGAGACTTCATGAGGTGCATATACTTGCAGGCGCAACAAGTATTTGTGAGACTTTGCTGGGGGATTAAAGGTATTTACAACTAAGTGCGGCAGCAAATATTTATGGCTCTGCTTTAGCTTGCTGTTTGCTTTTTGGAGGTCCGTGACAGTAGTGAAGCCAGAAAAAGCTATACAGCTTTTCCAGATGTAGATATAGAGCATTGGTAGCCCCCGTATTGCTCTTAATACAGTTTTCCTTTAACCAGAAACTTGCATTTCCCCAGGCTGCCCTCTGGACCTGGGAACATGCTTTTCTATGTCCTTCATTTCCCAAACCAATTAAAATACATATGTTGGTGATTTATCATGGTACATTTGTACATCTTATCTAAAAACCACGGCAGGCTTTTATTAACTGCCTATAAAAAAAAACTATGTACAATTGTGCGAGAGTATGGCTTGATATATGAGTGAATTAAAAAAATGTTATCATTCAGACTTGCCAATGCTTAATCTTCCTGTAGCGAGCTGTGTTAGGCTTGGCTGGCAGCAGTAACTGGGTTAGTATGATTTCAGCGCCCGTTAGTTTGTGTACCTATGGCAACTTGTTTGGCTGTATTCACACCTCTGCTTGTTAAGCGTGCTGTATTTTAGTTACAGTGCACTTCTGACACATTTTTCTGTGCCTTTACTATTAGTTCTTATTGAGGGTGCATTCAATATGAAGTAAGTATTTTAGGCATTTCAGTTTTAATAAAATGAGAGAGCTTTTAGGATATCTTATTAAAAGGAGGTAGAGAGAAACCCTTATATTTCACTGAAAATGAAGAACACAAAAGGTTTGGAGTTGAAGTGGCTTCTATGTTTAAATATCTCAAACCTACCATGAAAACACACTTGTGCATTTCACACAAAATGTAGAGGTGTGAATGCACCCTAAAATGTGACAAGTGGGACGTGCCTTGAGAATACATAAAAATTAAGAATCGAGAAAGGCATTGAAATATCACTGAAAAAATAAATAAGAATGTGGTTGGGAGTTTAAAGCAGAACTCCAGGAATATGTTTTTGTTTTTTTTAGGTCAGCATTGTAAAAACAAGTTAAGTCTGACTATCTTTAATACTTACATTTTCATTTCTGCTAGGAAGTATAGTTCCCATCATACTTCCGGCCCACTGCATCTTTCATACATGGGGGGCCTCCTTGTTGTGTGCTGCTCTCTCCCCTTGCCCATTTACATATGGTTTTGTATTCTGTGAATGGTTTATAGTACAAGGGCTTCTAAATGGGCAAGGGGAGAGGAGAGGCAGACAAACGGCAGTGTGACCTGAGAATATAAGAGCTGCAGTTCTCCTGCCGCAGCACTTGAAGTATAGCAGGAACTGTACTTCCTGGCATGAATAAAAGTGTGACTATAAACGATAGTACAACGTTTAGACTTGTTTTTTCAAAAAAAACAATCCTGTTTTAAAGTGTATGTATAGCCAAAACATTTTGAGTATGAGAGGATTAAAAACCTTGTCAGGTTGATTTTTACCATCTGTGTTCTGTTAAGATTTTCCTTCACCTCCTGTCCCAGAATAAGAAGAATCCCTGGCAAAGTGGGGGAAATACCCTTCTCCAGAACTGGTGGTCCCCACTGGGACACTTACCCTTAACTTCTGTTCTCTGGAAAAATCTTGGCTTTCCCCTCATTTTCTGTTTCGGTGGCAATGGTCACCCGGACAGATGGAGGTGTAAACCTCGACAGCGTCACCACTGACAGCGATAACAACTTGATACTCCAATCCTTCCCTTCTGTATCCACATTAAAACAAATAGCCTTTACATACATTTTACATGACCTTAAAAGGTTAAACATCTCTTCTATGAAAATACTCCTGTCATGGAAAGTTTATCACCTAGATATTGGATAATCTCAGGCAATCAAGTTTTTACTGATTTTCACTCTTTTCTACTGTTCACACTGTCTATCCATTCCATGAAATTCTCTCTCCTCAAATTGCCTTGAACAGTCACATATACAACAACTGAAAAAAAGGTATATGATACATTTAAATATAGCTGATCCTTTTACCCCAATATTCAATGTCAAGTTTCCATATAAACCTTTGTCTTTTTTTGCGTTTTCCTTAATGCCAAACTCCAGGAAAAATGATCATTTATACCCAGCACAGGATGTAATAAGAGGGGGTGGGAATATGACTTCTCTCCTCATCCAACCACAGAATGCCTTGTATTCTTTGAAAATATTCAAGGCATTTTGTGAATGGTGCAGGAGCACTTCACTGCTCAAGTTGTATCTCTCACTCCCTGCAGTGCCCAGAAGGACTGCGTTATGTGCAGGAGCTTTTGATGCAGCAAGGTAAGATTTTGATACTTTACAGCAGCCTTTCGCACATCACAGTTTTTTTATGATAATTTACACAGCCAGTGCAGTGTGCAAATGACCATTTGTTCCTGAGTTTGGCTTTAAAAGATTGTAAAATCATAAAGAAACTTCCTTTTGTATTCTGTATTGTTATTGCTGTATTTGTGGTAGAATCTCGGTGGAATTTAATATCTGCATTGCTTTTAGGTGAGGACAACTGCCCCAGACAAATACAGAGTGAAGCCCAGCAATAGTAGCTGTGAACCCGGCTCCACGGTGGATATTGCGGTTTCCCTTCATGCAGGTAATTGTTCTACAGAACAGTGTCATTACTGTTTTTTCTAAGTAAAGAAAAACAAATGTTTCAACATAAGCTGCAATGATATAGGGTCAAGTTTATATATACTTTTAAGTCTGCAAGACTAAGTGTCAAAGATGTGTCCTTTTTTTGTTGTTACTTATTTGATTTAAATCACTCACCTCATAGTTCTCCTTTTAATATGATCGACCCACTCTGGGGAGATCACAAACGTGTGGTTCATGCAAGAAAACCAAAGACTTTGCATGACCTAGAGTCATTTTGCCAAGACGAATGGGCAGCTATACCACCTGCAAGAATTCGGGGCCTCATAGACAACTATTACAAAAGGCTGTCATTGATGCTAAAGGGAGCAATACACCGTATTAAGAACTAAGGGTATGCAGAATTTTGAACAGGGATCATTCATTTTTTTATTCGTTGCCATGTTTTGTTTTGTGATTGTGCCATTCCGTTATGACCTACAGTTAAATATGAATCCCATAAGAAATACAAGAAATGTGTTTTGCCTGCTCGCTCGTGTATTTTTTTTTTAAATGGTACATATATTACCAATTCTCCAAAGGTATGCAAACTTTTGAGCACAACTCTATGTAGCACTTCTAATTACATTTTATCATGGCAGCACAGTGTAAACACAGATAAGGTTCCTTGTTTAAAAATTGGAAAATACAGTCATTTTAAGCCGCTGAAAATGTTTGATGAGGGACTTTTGTAGAACGTCTAAGTTTGAAAACGTAAAAAAGGCTTAGGACCTTGTCATGATAGACTGGGCTTCTGATTGATTGCACTGCACACACAAAGAGAGCCCTTTCACTTAGACAGATTTCCCAAAGAATCGTGCTCTACATCCATAATGAGGTGACATACATATGCAGAAGAAAATGTATTCAGCTTGTAATCTCCTTACATTCTACTTTTTAATAAATTGTTTCCTTTTTTTTCTTGTCCTTTCAAAAGCCTCTACAGCATCACTTCAAGATCGCTTTTTAGTGATGGCTGCAGAAATGGAGCAGTCCTCGGGTACAGGAGCGCCGGAATTGGCACAGTTCTGGAAGGAGGTGCCCAGGAATAAGATAATGGAACACAGGTAAGCTCTGCATAGGAGATGTCAGCCATTTTGTTCACTAAATTAATGTGCTGCATATTGATTGGCTTAGAACTAGTGCATAAATTATGTGTTGATTATCAAGGTTGTGAATCATTTATTAGACACAAATGAACAACTTTCGAATCGCATTTATTAAAAAAATTGGTTTAGTCACTTCTTATTAACATTGTTGTGATAAATATCACTGACCTGAGATGTAAAATGGCAAATCTATGATCCCCGCAGAAATATGTTTTTTCAAGTACAACATCTGAAAGGTCCTGGTATGGGAAGAATAAGTATAGTACACCCACTCCTGCCTCCACAATGCAGGGCTTGGTGTCACTGGCTCTGAGCATTTGCATAAGGTGCTGGGTTTGCATGCTTTTGCCTGTATGCAAATGCCGACTTTCAGCTAACTGCTTTTGAATGGAACACAAGCGTTTAATTTACAGATTAAGGTCCATTGGTATCAAAAATAACTTGTATGGAAATGGATGGAAAACCGGTTACAAGAGCTGATTCAGAGGGTAATTATAAAAAGTTAATTTTCTAAATGGCCCAGAGTGCTAAGTGGAGTGCCCCGGGGTTCAGTCCTGAGACCAGTTCTCTTTGTCTTCTTCATAAACGATGTTAGAATATCTAGCTCAATCTCAGTGTTTGCTGATGATACCAAGCTATGTAGGGCAATAACTTCAGAACAAGACACGTAATTTATTGCAGCAAGACCTTGAATAATTAGAGGAGTGGGCTGTAACATGGCAGATGCTATTCAGGGGTCTTTTATTTTATTTATTCTTTGAACCATTTTTTTAAATGATATATTTTTCAAAACATTTTAACCTTTCTTTTTTTTGTTATTTATTTATTTTTTTACATTACTGTCAGTGGGTTTTGGAGAAATATGTATTTCCCTTTTGAAATAGAAAAAGAGATGAAGTACACAGAGTTCTCAGTCTCCTTTCTTTGCAGCCCCAGCACTCAATGAACAGGAAACACTCAGTACAGAGGCTTCCTGTTCATTCACAAACCTAGGAGATCGTAAATATTTATGATCACCCCTGTTATGAATGAATAGGAAGTCTTTTGTACTGAGCTGCTTCCTGTTCATTCATTAACTTAGGAGATAGTAAACACCTACTTTGCCCCCAGTCATGAATGAACAGGAAGTGATATGTAGCACTTCCTGTTATTTTATAACTGGGGACATAATAAGCTGTTACTATCTCCTAAGTTATTTACAAACATCACTATTGAACACTCCGGTATTTGTTCTGCACAGGGAAGGATCAGCAAATATTTTGCATATTGATGATCCTCCACTCGGCATCCTTAAGCTCCACCTACCGGTCACTGCTCTTTCCACTCTGCTGTCCTCGCTACCTCTGTTGATATAGGCTGGGGAGAGCCTCAGAGATTGGAGGGAACACAGGCCGCTGCAGCCGGCTCCCAGCGGGGAGGAGAAAGCTGCAGAGTGACAGTAGCAGTGATGGAGGAAATGTCTGATTTTCAATAAATAACTTGTCAGCCACTGGTGACAGCTATTTATTTGCAGAGGTACGTCAGGGGGACCCTTCTGATGATGCGACCATAAACCTAGAGCAGAAGGGTGAATGCCAGTGCAGTAAGGCATACTGAGCTGACCAGCTGGGAAAGTTTTTGCTTCCCAATATGCCTTACATTGTTGGTATTGAAAGAGTTAAAGGCTGCAGAGAGTCCGTTGTTTTCTACTAGACATTCCATATAGTTAAGGTAAGAAGATCCGCAGAAGCTGATTTATTGACTGCATGTGGCGCACCCATGTATGTATATAATTACAACCTCCTATGTATAAACAATAACACACTCAATGTAAGCATAATAAAGGGTATTTACCCCCTATGAATCTATGACGCAGACAAGAGAATTACCATATATACTCGAGTATAAGCCGTCCCGAATATAAGCCGAGGTACCTAATTTTACAAAAAAAAACTGGGAAATGAGGCAGCTACTGGTAAATGTACAAAGCAAATCCAGGTAATTGTATGAAGTCATCATTTATCATTGGAAACAAGACTTACCAAGTGTTGTGTGGGTTAAAAAGGTGCCAGGCAACAGAAGTGTATTATTGTGCAGTAATTACCTTGGCATTTAGAGTGTATGAATGCACAAGGTTCAAAAAGTGCACAGACTTCTGAAGTTTAATGAGCCACTAACTTTGTAGCCGAATGCTAATTAATTAAGTTCCAACTCTGAATTGGTTCCATTTTGTGATAATGAATAGAGTGGCAAGATGGAGTAGCAGCACTAATACGTGTTGGCTAGTTTTGTCAGATTAATTAATACTCCCTCACAAGTTCAAAGCCTGTCTGAACTACGATTGTTTGTGACACTGTTCTTGGAGAATCTATTAACAACATGGCTACTATGAGCATTCGTTAAAGAATGCGTGAGGATTTGAAAAGTTGCAGAAGACATGGAATGTCTAATGTCAGCAGAGATTTAAAGTGATATTAAAGTCAAATGGTTTTCAAGCTATTTCAAGTGCTGATTAAATTACTAATGATGGATAAATTACTAGAGATTTATAAGCTCTGCACTATATCCCAAAGTGTAACTAACCCAATGACTAAAAAAAAGCTACTAACACTACAAAATTGTGTAAACACAATCTACCAAAGAGTTAAAAAATAAACCAGTGTAGTGTAAAAATTTTAAACCATAAATCAATCTGCCTGATCATCAAATAATAGTGCGCAAGTCCATAAATGTTCGTCTCTTCAGTGGCGTGTGTATGTGTATATGTGTGTGTATGTATGTGTATATATATATATATATATTGAATCTTAAAGCTATTGTGATTCCAACATTTTCTCTGTGTTCTTATTGTAGCAGAAGTGTTTCCAAAATCCTGGAATTCTACAACTACACATCTGTGGGCTCTTTTCCTTCTAGATTCTTTAGCAGCTGTAATAAAATAGAACAGAGCTAGAATGAGAGGACTGCAGGTAAACATTGCAGTCTATACAGGAAATAACCGTGACAGGCTGCCAGACAGTAAGAGAGGAATGCTTTAATCTACATTTGTAAGCTTCTGGTTCATTCTATGTTTGGCTTTTATTATTCATACTAGTAAAATATGTGATAAATCATTTCTCCTTTTTTATGATCATTTGTATAAAATAAGAATAAAGAAAATAAGTAGCACCTTTGTTTTCCAAAGCTACCAGCCAGTTTTAAAATTTCAGAAATCAGTTGGTGGGCAACCCAAAGACTTAATTTCTGGGGCACAAAGCCAGAGCAGCTAATCCGCTTTTAAGCTTAGCTGTGAAAGTACCTGCATTTAACTTGGTATCAGCTTCTTGCAGATACTGTACAGAAGAGCTCAAAGTGGGAAGGAAGAAGCAGAACAAGTAGGCAATGTGCTGACAAGAAGCAGGAAAGAGCAACAGAGAGATGAGCTCATCACTGTGCTGCTTCTCCTTCACTGTTCAGACTGGAGGCAGGTCTATTACAGCCTGGGTTCAGAGGAAGTGGGTTGATGTTCAAACTGGAGGACATTTAGCAATGAAAGAAAAGTACTGCAGGGGACAGGTCCAGGTTAAAGGTAAGCATATTTTATATATCTAGATATATATCTAGATATATAAAAATATAATTTATTTTCAAAAGCAATGACAAAAGAAACCTGTCTATTGCCTATCACAAACACACAGATGAAAATGGTGGCTGCAGTCTGACTATCTGACTACAAAGTACAAAACTCAAACTTCTCTACAGCCTTTATTAATGAAGCTCAGAGTATTCAGTTATATCTTACATGTGCCAACTTTATGTGTAGACAGAGTGTCTGGCTTAGTAGTGTCTTTGCCATCAACAGGAAGCAGTTATACATAAGCAAATATTTGTTATTTGTCTAAGGCTGTAAGATTTATTAATGAAGCCTTGTTTTGTTTCATGTAGATTAAGATGCCACGTTGTGGAAACCAACAAGCCTTCCACATTAGTATTAAAGCAAAACGCGTTAAACAGGAACTCTTTAGGAAGTGACGATCTTGCGTTTAAGGTAATAGCAGTATCCGTATTTAATTGCTGTGCTTCAGATATCATTTTAAAATAGCTGATGGTGTTTGGTATGCTACTTTTTATGCTGGAAACATCCAGAAGGTTCAAATATTGCTGGAGATGATGCAATCAATTGTATAAGACACACGTAGATATAACACTGCATCAGTCATACACCTGTATCCTCTATCCCACCGGTTTGGTATTCAGGTATAGACCTGTTAAAGCATGTGTCAAAGGGATTTTGCTCACGATCATCCATTTGAGAATCTCAGATTGATGACATCATTTGTATAAGACGCACATAGATATAACACTGCGTCACTCATACACCTGTCTTTTCTACCCCATCCATTTGATATTCAAGTATAGACCTGTTAGAGCATGTGTCAGTGAGTTTTAAGATGAGTTTTGCATTCCCATACAAGTCTATCGGACTGCAAAACCTGCTTAAAGCAGGTCAGATAGTCATATGCGGGACAAATGCACCTGTCCATGAATTCAGAAGCATCTCAAATTGATGACAAACTGATGCCAAACAAACCCAAAGGCCATCAAGAAAGGCCCTGAGGATCACGTGACACCTGTGATTCTGTCACTGGTGACAACTCGCTAGCAACAGGATCGATTTACCTGCCAGTGTACGTTTACCAGGCTAGTAGGGATTAAGTCCATGGAAGTAGGTGAGTATTTTATCTGCACTTTTAAATGGTCCTATCACTGGTGAGTTGCCATGGGCCTTAGTCTTACAAGTCAAAGAACGTTTATACATTGATAAGGTTTTGGTGGATGATGTGTAAGATTACCTAAACTGTCTGTTTAATGTTCTTAGTCTTGGAGCACTACCAAATTGTCTTTCTCACAACCCTTTTTTTTTGTTTTTCTGTTTTCTTTTCAGTTAAGTCAAATACTAGAAACGAACCGAAGACTGGAAGAGCAAATTAATCAGTGTATCTGGTATCAGCATGTGATAGCTTTTTTATTGTCCATTTTAGTGGCCATAGTTTTTGCTGGATTGTACATGTTGAAAGACACAAGCAGCTAGGTAACAATGGAAATTCTGCTCATGCTGATACGTCTTTGAAAAGAAGAGGACTTTCACCTGACCAAAGTTGCCTTTATTATTCAGTGTGCGATTTAACTACAAAGTAACATGAATAATCAAGATATCCAAGATACACATGAATGTTTTAGAAGCCAATTTGTGTCACATTATAGGTATCCTATTAGCTTGACAGTGTTGTTTAAACATTTCCAACCTTTCTTTTTGGTTTTTCTTTCTAGCTCTTTTGGTTTATTTATTTACAGTGCTACATCTACGCCTTGGCATGAGTAGACATCAACAAAGCTCCGCTATCTGCCAAAAATGATGTTTATTGTAGCGGATACATAAAAAAAAGAGATATTTAGTAACCTAATTGGCAGCTTTATGTCACATAGTCAGCCTAGGGTTAGGATGAGCACTAGTAACCATGGTTAACATTTTTTTTTCTCTGATTCCCATATCATTTCTATAGGTAGATGTTTTGTATGATGACAAGGTTTTGTTGTCTTAATTTTATCCATACAAGCTTAATAGGTGGTGAAGTGTTCTTCCATGTGTGAAGGGTGAGCCTCATAACATACTGTACATCTAAGAGTTTACACCTCTTTAGTTGTTGCCATGGTTCAGATTTGCTTTGATAATGTAATGAGATGGAAGACTTCTCATCTATGGCAGCAGTACCAAATCCAACCTGTCACTTGTATGTAGGAAGAATAGAAGGAACTGACAGTCTTAGGGCAATAGTGAGTTTACCTTTCCATCTTTTATTTTAAACCTGGTCTCAAAATATACAATAATGTGAAAAGGAAGTACATACCATGGAAATTGTTGACTTTTTCTACTGTTTGAACAGGCAAACACTAGCTCTTAATTCAAACAGTGGCTGCAAATAAAGGTAATATCTTTGTATATACCACAAGAAAAAAAATTACATTTTCAGTCAATTATTCATCAAAAATGTGGAAAAGTAAGTACAACCTTGGCCTCAGACACTAGTGTTGCCCCCTTTAGAAGAAAAAACATCTTGCATCAAAGAGAACACTAAACTCTAGATGCCTAAGGTTTAAGGGCTTGTTCACATCATATACAGTGCATTCCAGAGCGGTTAACTGCTGCAACGCACTGTATTGCACAGTAAACTCTCCCCTGCATTTTGGGGCGGGATGGTCATGGAGGTGCATTGAAGCCAATGGCACCGCAGCCACGCCCCCCCCCCGCCCGCATTGTGATCGCCCGCACCAGAACTGGACCGGAATGCAGGCATTGTTGTGCCTGCGTTCTGGTGTGCGGGCGATCGCAGCTGCAGTGCCATTGACTTTAATGCTCTGTCACGCCGCAGAACGCAGGGGGAAGTTTACTATGCGACAAGTGCATTCCAGCAGCTAACCGTTCTGGAATGCACTATATATGGTGGGAACAAGCCCTAAATAATACAGGTTTAACCTGGATACCCCCTAAGGAGTTTCTAATCATTGGCACCTAATGTGGAACACATGATTCTAATTTCATGGATTAAGGGGTGGTAAATATAGGGGTGTAATTACTTTTTCCATATTATGTATCTGCAGTTTTGTGAATTTAGATTATGAGAATGAATACACCAATTTTGGCTGTCATTTGTTCAAGTACATCACAGTTACCTCTTGTAGGTTCTTTTTTGAATGAATGTCTAATATTTGTCTGTATTGGCAAATCATAATTTTTTATGGGGTTTACTTACTTGTTCATGTGACTGTATGTTGTAAGACAGAATATGTTAGTTTTCTGAATGCAATTAAGACGTCTGTCAACTACACTGAATAATCAGCAGAGTTCAGCCATTCGTATTTACTTATAAGGTCTCTTTAATATGTTTCTTCACACATCTGTACACTTAAAGTGACATTGAAGTCAAAGATATATTTTTCCCTCCCCCCCAATGTTAATTAAAGCACTTCCCTTAAATGATGTTTCTTAATCTGATCATCTTCTTTCCTGTCGTTTTCATCTGTCCCTCCAGCGCTGCGGCGGGTCTCCGATCCAGCACTGACTCCTCTCTCTTTGCTGGCACTTCCTGTCCCACGGTGTCTGCATGCGGGTGCACGGGTCCATACACTTACCTTGTGTCTCTCCCCGTCTCCCGGCCGAAAATGTGAACTGCGCATGCGGCCGCCCGAGAATTTTCAGATTTTCGGCCGTGAGAGCGCGGGGAAGATGCAGGTAAGTTTAACCCGCTTTTAAAGCGTTTGTTTGTTTTTTTTTTGTCTTTACACTTTTTGCATATATCTACTGCTTGCTAGCAGTAGATATGTGCAAAAACATTGAAGGGTTTAATAACCCTTTAACTTGTTTCTAGTTACAATGTCTCTTAAAATGTTTCCTCCCGTTACCCTAAGGAGAACTATGGGGAAAAGCCTTAACCCCATAGTTCTCCTTTAACGTCCTATGGTGTTATAATGGCCATGACTGCCAGAATATTTTAAATGGTACTTTTTCTATAGTATGTTGTAGCTGCGTAGGTTTGAACCAAGAAAACATTGGTTCTGTTGCCACTCTGCTGTTTGTAAACTGTCCAGACGTTCAGAATGTTGTAGTTGATGGAGGAAAAGTGCTATGCATTGAAGTGCAAAAAGGGATCATGCACTTATGGATATGTATATATTATATAGTAAGGCTATAGTAGGGAAGGATTTCTTTTTTTAATAATGGGTTCATTCTTGTTTTTTTGCTGTGAATTTCTTTAACGGTGCCTATTTAATAACTGGGTGCTATGAAGAGAAACGTGCTGTGACATATTTCATTTTATCTTCTAAACTGGACAAGAAAATGACAGCAGTAGTCATAATATTATGTAGATGAGAATAATTCTTATTATTAGCATAGAATGCTCTTAAATTTCAGAGTGCCAAGCCATAGTTCAACTGAATGCAGTTATATCCCTGTTTCTCTATTTTTATATCTGCTGAAGATTTACTTAGTAATAATGTCCTGTGTTTAATAGAAACAGTCGCTTTACTTATTTATTAGCCATGAGCTGAAATGACAAACATTAGCAAGATTTCAAACATTGATGGACTGATCTGTGAATACCAAACCAAAAGTAGAGTTCTTTTTTATGCTCCGTTATATTACCAAAGAATGGAAGTTAAATCCTGATTACTTGCTAGGGGCAACAGCTCTACATTTGCTTCAGTTTTAATACATCTTTCTATGGAGATCCCAAAATATAAATACTGTATATTCCAATTGCTGCATAAATGCAGCTCTATATTCTCTGTTCTATTTAAATTTACTTGCTGTTGCACTCTGTATGGGTGCATTAACATCTGTTTATTTTCCTGTTTATTTTCCAGTAAAATGTAAATAACTTATTGCATAAAAATGCATTTAAAGTAGAAATTACTTTTATTGTGGCATGGCTTGTTAATCTGTGCTCTGTCGCTTGGCTTAGATGTATTATTTTTGTATTGTGCTGTTTTGCGTGGTATTTAAATCCAGGGCCATGCCATTTCAGCCAGTCAGCTCAGTGATGCAGATCCTGTTAAACGCGCATACTCATCAACATCACTAAGGCCCCATTTACACCCAGAATCATTACGATCTGTTTTTCAACAGATGCCAATGGAAGGTAACCCAAAAAATGAATGGGTGTGAATGGGACCAGCTCACACCGCTCTGTTCTGTTGCATTACGTTGCTCTGAATAAAATAGTAGAACATGCACTACCTTTTTTCAGCACAACGTAACACAACAGTGTGAACTAGCCCCATTCACACCCATTCATATTTGGTGCCCTTGCATTGGCATTTATGGACACATGAATCAGAGGGAAATTGGGAGGTACAATTGCAAGTCCACGGACCCTCCATTGACTAATGATTACCTTCTGATTTTGGTGTGAGTGGTCCCATTCACACATCCATTTTTTGGGTTTTACTTCTGTTGACATCTGTAAAAAAAACTGATCGCAATGGATCTCGTGTGAATGGGGCCTTAAGGCTCCTGAAAAAAAAAGTAGAACATGCACTACTTTTTTTCAGCAACAGTGTGAACTAGCCCCATTCACACCCATTAATTTTTTTGCCGCCCTTGCATTAGCATCCGTTGACAGGCTCTGCGTCACTGAAGAAGCTCGGCCTGTGTGACGGGCACAATGGCCAGGAAGGGAGCTCAGTAACGCTGAGCCTTTGATTTTACCAAGCTCGGCATTAATAATCTGCACTGAGGTCAGAATATCTGGTATGGACTCTCCAGCCTCAGTGATGTCTGGTACTGTGCCTCCAAAAGTGCCATCTGAGACAACTGCCTCAATTGGCCTAATTGGCAGTACAGTCCTGCTTAAACAATCTAAAATCTATTTTCTGAATATTTCTCACTCACTTTGCATAATGTATGAACAAACACACATTATTGTATATGTATAGGTGTGATTGTCGCTAAAGCTAGCAGCACAATTGGATTGTAAAAGCTCCTTTACATTTACCAATAACCAGGTAGTACAAGGGCCTGCCTGGTTAGATGTAACAAGGATGGATTGTTTAGGAAGGCCCTGCAACGCGCAGTTTTTGGTAAAGTCAAAGGAGGCTATACATTCAGATTGGGTGATCACATGGTGCCTCTCAAAGTGACATCTGAGGAATAGATCAGAGAGAAAAAAGCAGTAAAAAGAAATTGGAAATATTGTATTGGTAATAGTTTTTTATATTTAATTCAGTATTCGTTATTTTTCAGAATATATTCTTAAATTAAGGGGGGGTTTTTTTGTTTTTTTTTACAGGGTAGGATGTGAAAACAGACATTGGTGTACTTTAACATCAATGTCTAAAATTTTAAATGGTCCACAGACCATATGACTTTGCTAACAATTCCTCTAGCAGGATGCATATAGCACTTACCTTATCTTTTTAGTTCTTGCTTGTCCAACTGTCCAACCCAAAGTCTTCTCTGTTCAGCTGTTCTAAAACATAACATGTTAGATGTGTGTTTTTCCTTACAACCCCTAAATAATTTAATTTCATTTCTTTTTATTAACAGATTGTTGCATAGACATGAATGCTTGCATTACCCAAGCAGACACCCTAAGCACCAAGCTTTTCTCAAAGTAGCGTTGCCAAATATAATTTTCATAGGGAGCCAATGCATATTTCCAGAGTAGTCAAGCATCATTTAAAATGTTAAAGCTATACAAACATGCCAATTTAATG